CAACTTAAATACAGTACATGCCTGAAACACATGTGTTAACTATCTTGCTGACAAAAAAATGTGATTCTGACCCTGTCCAGGTTATTTACTTTTCTTTCTCATCTATTGAGGGACACAGGATGATTTTAAACTTTGGGTTATGCAGTTACCTGTGGGTGGGGTTGACACTGGCCTCAGTTTTATGCTTTAGGAGGATGGACATATTTTTTTTAGCTCTGCTGCTGTAACGAATAACCTATTATTTGCTAGCATTTTCTTATCCTTAGATATTTCTTTTCTTCAATTGAGATTCTCTTGAGCTGCTGGAGGACTTTCCATTCATTCAGCATTTATCTGGTGTGGGCATCCTGAGCCTGACGTTTGGAGTTCCCCAAGGCAGTTCCCACCACCATGTTATTTTTTTTTGGCATCCCCTTGCCTATTAGCCCAGAAAATGGACATTTTAATTTCAATTGAGTTCAGTTTCAGCATCCAAACGTCTTTGAATTTCATAGAACCCCTGTCAAAACATACCAAGGACAGTTTGGCTCATCACTACTGTCTAGGTTTCATGAGTGTTGAGGCCTTGTCTCTTACCCTAAGTCTATATGTTGCCTTCCTACACAGCATCTGCAACATGTTTAATTCTAGACATGGAGGAGGGCAGTTCTGCTGTACTGGGTGTCCCAGCTATCTTTTTGTTAATGGTCCAAATCTGCTTGCAGTGTACCTACTGGTGGCGCCAACGTCTGCAGCCTGGAATCATGCTGTCCTCTGCTTTTAGACTCTCTCCCATCCTCAAAGTCTTACTTGCTATTGTAGGTGGTGACTGATTCTACCCCTTTTACTAAGTTTTTTGCTGACTCTGATTACAGAGGCCACAAGCATCCTCCTGTGCCCTTTGCAGAAGATTATGTTTCTGATTTACTACAGCCTCAGAGACTTTTAAGCCATCACCTGCAGAGACCTTGATTCGTAGTCATTTGTCTAATTCAAAATCCTTGATGATGGGTTTACCACGAAGAAGGAACCAGAAGTCTTGTTGCGACAAGAGAGGTAGAGCAGGTCCTGCCCATGGAAGAACCTCATGTTCCAGTCTTATCAGCCATGTACATTCCAGATTTAGGCAATTGGTAGGCAGCTTTCCTCAGCTGGCAGCACCTGCACACTGAAATCAAAGGTTTTTAGGTGAAATTTGTCACAGGTGCGGGATGCTGGATGTGGAGCACTAGATTCAAAAACAAACTGGACAGGTTTGTATCCAAGTACTATACAGGAATTCCTGGCAGAAGCCATGGATGTTCTGGTGGCTCTGTGGGATCAGTATACTTTGATCTATTCATTTCCCTCCTAGCACTTCTTCCGCATTGGCTCTTCAGGATTGAGATGGAGAGTTTTCTGGTGATCCGTATGGCTCCAGACTGGTACAGATGAATGTGATGTACTGACTTTGTAAGACTATTGATAGTGGCTTGATTGGCAGTGCCAGATTGTCTGAATCATCTCTCTCAAGAGTAATTTGCCATCCTGCTTCTTGGTCACTAAGTTTAACAACATTGCCTTTGAAATTTTAAAACACCAGGGCATCTTTGAATTGGTGATTCCTAAGATGCTTAAAGCTAGGAAGTCTACCCAAGGTCTATCATCAAACACAAAGGCATACTTCACTTGAAGGAGCTTCTCCCTATGATGAATCCTCCTCTTCCTACAGCTAGGTTTCAACAAGTGTTTGGCTCTCGGTATTATCAAAGTTCAGATGTCTCCTCTTTCCATTCTATTGCAAAGACTTTTGGCCTCTCACTTTTTGATTAAGACCTTTGCACGTGGGATTTCCCATGTAGTTCCCACCTCGTACATTCCCTAGCAATGCCATGAGATCTGCAGTTTGAACCCTTTCAAGACAGTCCTTTGTCTATATCACCAATGATATTATCTTTCTTGTAACCATCACTTCTGAAAGGTGAATGTCTGCACTGAGGGCCTATCTTGCAAATAAGCCTTTTTTTGTGTTGCAGTGGGACAAGGTGATGTTGATGCCTTACGGTAGTTTCTGACTGTTACCACAACAAGGACTTTGTTCCCATTCTCTCACTCCAGTTCATCAAAAGCAAATTTCCCTACTGGATGTGTTTTGGATTGTAAACATATCTCTCAACTACTGCTTCTTTCAGAAAAAGTTGTTCCTCTATTGTCATCCCGGATGGGCCCCTTTTCGGCAAAGTATTTTTCAACCAAAGTATTTAAGATATGCCATTAATTTAATTTGAAATAAAAAACACTTCTTTAAAAAAATGTGCTTCAGGATTAATGGGGAGTGGGTTAATGATTATACTTTATATTTCTTCAATCTTTCTATTCACTATTGCAAGTAATAAGGACTGCCAAGTGAAGAATAGTCCCACAAAAAATGTCTCGCAAAATTCCACAACTAAAGCTGGTAGGATTTGACAAGCTGAATTTAGCTTGTTAATGTTTGAATGTTTTCATGTTCCCACTGATGCTTGTGAGTCTACACATGACTGGATTGCAAGTCATATAGGAGATGTCATTTTTCCTGATCACATGGTTAAATGGTTTGGTATACAGGTGTGTTCAGGTAAGACTGAAAGGTATCAGAATTAGAGTCAGTGGTATTACCAGGGCATACTTACTCAGTTACTCAGTTTGGAAAATAACAGGTAATGGAAAGGAGCAAAGTTTGGTGCTTTGGGTCTTTTCCTCCCATGTGAAAAATGTTGTGCATGGGGTGCTGGTAAAATACGCTGCAAATATAATCCGTTATCTTTATTCTTCAATAATGCCACCCATTATAGTAAAGTGGTTGTAAAGGCAGAAGGTTTATTTTCCCTTACTGCATTTTATGCAGTAATGTAAAAATCCTTCTGCATGCAGCTTCCCCACCACTCCCCTAAATACATACCTGTTCCCGATCTCAATCCAGCAATGTGCACAAGAGCTGAGCCTCTCTCGGCTCTCTGGCTCCTCATTGGCTCAGATTAAGCAGCAGGAGCCATTGGCTCCCCTGCTGTCAATCAGAGCCAGTGACAAGGGAGCAGGGGCAGGGCATTATGGACACACAGAGCAGGGCTTGGGATCAAGCACCTCCCTCAGCAGGACGGAGAGGGAGGATCCAGGAGCACCAGCGGGGGACCCGAGCAAAAGAGAATTGGGGCTGCTTTGTTAAAAAAACACTGCACAGAGCAGGTAAGAATAACATGTTTGTAATTTTAACACAAAGAAAACAAAGCTTTAATATTACTTTAAGTGGTCAATAGAGGCCTGAGAGGTGAGTGGACAAGCTCTACATTTACAGGAAAATTGTGGATTTCGTGTTAAAGCAGAATTCTATATCTCTGCATCTATGGATCAACCTGTCTTTTTTCTTTCTTTGCTGAATTTAAATGTCCCAATTTTTGAACAAATATGCTTTAGGGAAAAAATTAACATGGAACTATACTACTAAGAACTGTGTCCCAAAGTGTCAAGTTCTTTTCAAAATGTGTTAGCCTTTTCCTACACAAGGACATCTGGGCAAACACATTTCCAACCCCAAAAAATAATTCCTAATTACAGATAGGTTCACATCTCTGTGGGTGATTGCCACTGTGGGAACACACCTGTTCTCAAAACTTCAACCACCCACACAGAAAAATGCAGGAGCTGTGTGCAGGTGCCATTAATGCTGATGGCAGCCACACGCACTAAAAATCATTCCTGCACTGCGAACCGAACTGCATTTGCGGTTCCCGTGCAGGTTGCAATTTCTGAAATGATGCAGGGACCTTTTCACTGCATTTTAGGAGCCATGATAGCCCATTCAAAGGAATGGGCTGCTGTGCCAGTGCAAACCCTGCTTCCAGAACCACACAGATGTGAACCTAGCCTACAGGTTGAGCGTATTCTTACGATTAGTTCCAACCATTGTCAGTTTTGCTGGAAAGATTGGTCTGTATGTAAATGTGGCAAAAATATACATAAAGGCATTTGACATAAAAAAAATCAGATACTGGATACTCTAATAACATGTATCAATCACATGCTGTTATAATAAAACAATATCTTTAATTATGGTGGTCCTTTAATTGTATGAGCATGTGCTAAGATGAAATCATCTGAAAACATTAGTATCACTATTTTAGAGGATCTATAGTGAAAGCATTTTTAGTAGGGAAATAGTAATGCATCTATCAGTTTGGTTTTTTTTTAAGTGTATGGGCCCGATCTACAGAAAGCTGGCTAGTGCACCAATGTTAGAAAAAGTTCACTTCTCTAACTTCTGTTACTTACTTTGTAATAGACTCTAGATGTTCAGACAGACATTAGAACTGGTGGCACTGTGTCAGGACCTGGATCACCTGCTGGTGGCACTGTGATTTCCTGGGTGAAGGGTTGTAGTTCCAGAGTCCTCCAGCAGGTGTTTCCCAGCAACCAGTATTTTCTAGTAATCAGTCCCCACCTGATGCTGGTTGCTGGGATGGTATTTAGTCTCCCCTCTGCCAGTACACTTTGTGTCAGTGTTTTATTTTGCTTGCTGCCAGATACTGTGTGTTGTTTATCCTGTACCTGATCTTTCTGTTGCCCTGCATCCTGTACCCTGCTGCCTTATTTCTGCTCCCCTTGAACCTGATCCCAGCCCTAGGTCCCCCTTCCCACCTGTTCTCTGCATCTCCAGTTTACCCTGTTTATCTGTGTTCCCCAATATACATGTACATATTGTATATAGTTAGTTTGTAGTTAGGCTTCCTTTAGCATTTTGGTTCTATGATTGTGGTTCACTTGTATTTTTATGGTAGCTGTTTGTGGGTGTGTGGATGTATTTTCCTTTTAATACATTTACTCACCCATATATTGTCTGGTCTGTTTCTAAGTGTAGCCATGCAGATCTGACCATCTCTTCTGTTTACTGACACATTGGTATTTGGATAGCAAGGGAGCTGTTTACTTGGTTATTTTTGAATGCTTACTTAGGAAAATACCATATCATGAATTTATTGTTAGCACTAATTAACTTAATTATATATGTTTTCCTTTTAGGGCCTTTTGTCTGTAAAATGGTTCCTTTTATTCAGACAACAGCAGTTGTGGCCAGCACATTAACAATGACCTGCATTGCAGTGGAAAGATACCAAGGAATAGTCCATCCACTGAAAATGAAGAGGCAGTATACAAACCGAAGGGCCTACAAAATGCTTGGTAAGAATATGGTAATATTTTTCTTTACTACAAGGGCATCATTGTTCAAAAGACCAGCAAGCCAAGGTCAAGGCAATAGTGTCATAGGCCGAGAGAGTCACCTTGACACTTTTGCTCTCAGCTAGGGCACACTAGAAATCTCCCAGAAAAGGCTGCAATTGGCAGGGTTAGCGGAAGTAAAATACCCAGTGCCAAATTACCCAAACAGAGTAAGCACCGTCCTATGGGCCCCACACCATTAAGGGCCCCAGGACAATGGATTAAAATAATACTGATTTTGAAAGAAAATGAAAATAAAGATTTTTTTTTTTCTTTTTTACAACAACAGAAAAAATGGATCAACTCAAAGAAACGAAAATGTTACATTAAAGACTCTATAGAGAGAATAATGTATTAATGTAAGCTACCCAATAACAACTTAAAGCACAAAAACCATAGATATCAGGTTCACATTACAGCTTGTCTGTTAAAAGCTCACCTTCTTTCAGCTGTCAGTTTGTAGAACAATTTTGTGCAACCTAAGTACATGTAATGTACAGTAGTGATGGTCTTCTCCAACTAGCAGCTGACATGCACTTCTTCAATGTTATCCCACTTGGAATAGGCATGAGAAACATGTGGGAGGGGCCCCAAGGCTTTGACTACCTAGGGGCCTCCAAAGAGTTTAATTTGGCATTGAGAATACATCAAAGAACCTCATTTTCAAATCAGTGAGTAAAGGAGAACCACTTCATCTTCATTGTGCAATCATAATGATATGCCAAAAGAGCAGCGTGCAGTGAATGAGGGGAGGTTTTCCGCTGACTCCCCAGCAGGCAACTAAACTAGTAATAGCAAAGCACAACTACTTTATATGGCACTGCAATGCAGGAAAATGGGCCTGCAAATGGGCCACCCCATTTTCATTTAATATTACAAGTTATACATAGAAACAAGTTTTTTAAATTGAAATGTACTGGTAAGATTATTTGCTGCTATCTCTAAAAGCAGAACATTGTAAAGACCATACTTTCCCCTAAAAAACATTTTCAGTCATTAAAAAAATAAACGTCAGCAGCTACAAATGCTGTAGCTGCTAAATTTTAATAAAAAGACACTTACCTGTCCAGGGATCCAGCGCTGTCATCTACTACCAGGCTGATTTTTACTGGTCTTCGGGTCCCCATTAGTGCCATGTTGACTTGTTTGAGAAGCCAGCTGTGACTCCTTGTGGCTTCACAGCTGGCTCCCCAATGTGCATAAGTAAGCCGTAAAGCCCCATCGCACCCTGTGAATGCTCCTGTTGCCTCTTGGGACTTGTGAAGTGTTCCAGGAGGTGAACATCTGCTCAGATTGGGTAGGCAACCCAGATGGAAGTGGGAGTGGGTACCTGCCAAAACAAGGTACCCTTCTCCCTGCCAAAGCAAAGAAAGTTTGCTTTACTGATAGAGGAAGGGGAGGAATAGGAACAGAAGAACTTCTGTTTTGAACTGAAATTATGCTTTAAAGCATAACATTATTGTAAAAAAAAATGTTTTGTGCTGTTTTCATTTGGAAGTTTCTCTTTTTTTTTTTCCTGTTTGGTCATTGGGACAGGAATGAGCAGAATCTCTCAGTAGGGACAACAATAAAAGCACTTTTTATTAGAGAAGATTAGTTACAACTCCTTTCGTCTTTTATATAGACTGTTTCCTGTTGGCCACCACCACAAGTAAAAAGGATAGATCTCTCTTACTCTGCCAGACTTTCAACTGGTATTTTATTCTCATAAAGTAAATATTTCCACCATGAAAACAAATATAAAATCTTACAGATGTTAAGCTCAGGACAGGTCATTTTTCCATGGAGTTGGGTTTTTCTACCCTTGTTTTCTCTGTTGTGCCAGGGAGACTGTGGTCTAAAACTGTGACCCCAGACATCAAACACACAGTCTAAATAGCCTCAGTTTTTGCAGTTTTTTGTTTTAAGTTGGTATGCCCTGTAGTTCATTTCTTTTGAGAGTTAAATCAAAATCCTATCATACAATGCCTTTTGATCAGAAGCCAGTCCACTTGTCGACTGGAGAAAAGGCAAGACATGGTCCTTGATAACAAAGGATCTCTGAAGACCCAGAATCTTTTGCCCATCTCTGTACAGAAAGAGAGCCATAAAAACATCAGGACGTCCACAGCCTGTGTTGCTGGGCTGAAGCAAGAGTACATTAAACACATTGGAGATCCTGTATATGCTAGTAGCAAGCATAACATAATTATTTGAAAAGCATAGACCATAAATAAATATTAACATACATATGACATCTAGCAATATGTCATTTCAGTTTCCATGAATATATCAGTCTGAAATTCTTTATATACAGTACCACTGACATCCATTCTGTTGCTGTAATGTAATATTATTACTTAAAAATTAATCAGAGGAAAAAACACATGCGATCATGCTTTCACATTAACATTTTAATCACAGCTATCGATTCCAATGTTCTGAAAGGCATTGCAGGAATGTCAACAGTGTTATATCAACATCTATTTATATAAAACTGCAAAATGAAGCTAGAGTATATGTGGTATGCTAAGAACAATCTTATTATAAGATAGCTATTGTCAGGAACTGTTAACTCATCTTTGTGTGCCACAGGTAGCAAGCCATCACTTCACTTGCAGTGTCAACTTTTTCAAATCAGCGCAAGCTAGGCTTCCTATACTTAGTGCCCACACTGCCTAGTAGATATTACAGCACAGGGAAATGATGTCTCCAGGCATCAGAAGTGTAGCTTGAATCTTGCGGACCCCGATGCAAATGTTGACCTGGGGCCCCCCACTACCTTCCACCGTGCACCAAGATGATCCCACCATGGTTGTCTCTCTGAGCTGTCAGGTGAAAGTGGTAGGTTTGTATGTAAAAGAGGAAATTCAGCAGGCCCTCTGACTTCCAGATCCACATATCCACATACAAGCCCACTGTTTTCACCCAGCAGCTCACAGTGTGACCTGCCTGCCCCCACCTTGTATGCATGGGCAGGGCTGAGCAGGGGTGGGAGGGGGGATACTGTGCTGGGCTAGGTGGGGGTTTATTAGTGATATCTAAAGTATATATATAAAGTGTGATATCTGCCACTGCAGATATCACACTTTTTTTTTTTTAAACACCTTTCTTTATATGTTATTAAACAGCACCCAGTTATCTCTCTCATTCCCAGGTTGAAGTGATGAGGAGGTGCAGGTTATTAGGGAAAAGTAACACACCCCCCCCCTTCCTGGTAATGACACATGCCCTCCTGCCTCCTTTTAGTATTTACAGGTGACCCTTCCTTCAGGAACCCCCCACTTCAGCTAATCATAGCTGGCCCCCTTCTCCTGTAAAGACCAGTGACTCCGACTCCTGGTAATGACACATGTCCCCCCACCAGGTAATGAAAGATTACTCCCCTCCAACAGGTAATGACAGATGACTCCCCTGGGTAACAACAGATGACTCCCCTCCCCCTCCAGGTAATGACAGATGGCCCGCCTCCCCCACCAGGTAATGACAGATGACCCCCCCCCCACCAAGTAATGACAGATGACCCCCCTCCCCCACCAGGTAATAACAGATGACCCCCTCTTTCCCTCCATGTAATGACAGATGACCCCCCCTCCACCAGGTAATGACAGATTAACCCCCCTCTTCACACCACCAGGTAATGGCAGATGATATCCCCTACCAGCTAATGACAGATCACCCCCCCCCTCCCCCACCAGGTAATGAAAGATGACCCCCTCCCCCCACAAGGAAATGACAGATGACCTCTCCTCCCCCCACCAGGTAATGACAGATACCCCCTCCCCACCAGCTAATTACAGATGACCCCCTTCCCCGCCAGGTAATGAAAGATGACACCCACCTTCAGGTGCCCTCCTCCTAGTAATGACACATGCCCCCCCAGGGAATTACTGATTCCCCCCCCCCCCCCACCATCCTGGTAATGTCACATTATCCCCCCTCTCCATACTAACAGATTTCACATCCAGCTCCCCCTGTGCTCATCCTGCTCAAACGGTCACAGTAAAATCTGCAGTTTCTGGAGTCCCTTGGGGGCCCCTCAAGAGGCGTTATGGGATTTTGTGAGAATTTTTGTTGGAATGTCAGCAGGGGTTGTGTGGAGGGATGGGGCTGTGTGTGTCTGTTTTCTGCACAGATCTGACCAGTGTCCTGCTGGTTGTCAGCACTGACACTTTCCCATCCAACAGGGCTGGCCTCACCCCATCCTTCCTCCGCTACTCCCCAGCTCAGGACTTGAAAATGGAGCCAAAAGCTGATTCTGCTTTGCCCCGTCATATAAACAGGGAAACAGCACGGCCCCCCCGGAGCATGAGCGGGGTCATAATTGTGACCCCCTGTGACCCCTGATGCTACGCCCATGCCAGGCATCAATTCAAAATTTGCTCTGAGCAAAAAAACAAGCATAAAAGTTCCTCCTGATACTCTGTAGCATTTTGGTGCTCCTTTTGATTGCTGCTGTCTTTTTGGATATGACCCAGGATTTTGCTGATTTTTTTGCCTGCCTTCTGCTCTATTTTGCCAGTGATACGACTTTTCCAGAATACCGTCCTAGGCTATGGACTAAACTCCTGCTTGTTAATGTAATACTTCACTTAAGTTAAGATAAACTGTCTTTATTTTAGGCAAACATTGGGCTGTTACCAGAGAGGAGCCATATCAGAAAACCCATATCTCAGTATGTAGCATTCCAGTGAATGATTGATGTCCATTGGAACCATCCATTAGGATAGACTTGCTGGAGACAGAGAGCTCAAACTATTAATGGCCATACAATTCAAGTCCACATAATCACATATTGATGCATATACAAAATATACACTATATTGCCAAAAGTATTGGTACGTCTGCATTTACACGCACATGAACTTTAATGGCATCCCAGTCTTAGTCTGTAGGGCTCAATATTGAGTTGGCCCACCCTTTGCAGCTATGACAGCTTCAACTCTTTTGGAAAGGCTGTCCACAAGGTTTAGGAGTGTGTC